TGTTGCTTTGTATATCCCTCCCCCACAGTATAACCCCTGCTTTCACTATATTTGGTGTCGGTATAATTTGTGGAGGAGAAGGGGAAAAACAAGTCATTTAAGGATACAGGTGGACCCGTTGCAACAATGAGAAGTACAAGTTGTCATGTCGAAAACGAACTTTACAACTTTGGTGGGGGTGGAAGGATTGTGTAGGGGGTGGGGGGAGGCAGGGAAGGGATGTGACGGGTAAACAAAAGAAGAGGCTGCAATGCTTGATAAGAAATGTACTCATTATCTTGCCCATGTAATTGTAACCCCTCTGTACAGTATGTTCACAATAAAAAATATTAAAAAACCCAGTTACAAGTAAGCCAGACCCAAAGAAACATAGGTCCCATGGTTTCCCTTACTTTCCATAGCTAGTATACATCTAGGATAATCTTACAAGACAAGTAGAAAAAATCAAAAGCTATGTACATATGATCATATAAGGTGATGGTAAGCAAAATGAGCCCCAACATAGGAAAACAAGGCAACTTTTCTTTGTCGCTGTTGTTTTTATTATAACTATGTGATTTTTTTGGGTTCTTTTGTATGTTCTTCCCCCATGGTACAACCCCTGTTGTCACTGTATTTGATACCAGCATCTTGTATATACATTTTTCTAATTTGGGAAGGGGAAGGGAAATAACAAAATGCTGAAACAAGGAAACAAGTTGACCCATTGTAACAATGAGTCGTACAAAAATATTGGGGAAAAAACAGTCAAAAAATAAATAAAACAAAAGGTCATTGATGAATATTTGAGATGAACATATTTAATCCCAGTTAAATACTTCACATTAAATAGGGATGAAAGCATAATATGATATACCATTTATTATATGCATATATAATATTAATGCTTACATGTAACTACTACAGTGAATAAAGTTTCTTTCTACAAATGAATTCACTGACTAGACTAGATGTAGTCAAAGCATGTGAAATTCCCTCATCATAAGATAACTTCTATATATATTTAGATGAGTGCCCTTCCATTTTTAATGGAGATACACATTTCCATGACCATATGGTCATGTAGAACAGGTGTTTCTCACCAGTGGCTACTTAGTGATACTTTCTTCTGGAGTGTGTGGTGGCAGACTGAACAGTGATGAAGATTCTTGGGTCAGTTGATGGATTACAAAATTAAGTTAGAAAGCAATGTAGCACATATTCTTCACTAATGTGAAATTTGAGACTTAAACTTATTAAAACAGAGTAAGTAGTTGTATAATCAATAAAGTGATAGTAATATAGAGATCTGTTTCCTATTCTAATTGGAAAGCTTAAGCCCTAAAAGTAAATGTGATGTTAGGCATTGGCCATGTAAGAATTACTTAATATGAAACCTAAATCCTCAAGATTATATTGTTCTGACTCTGGCAAATGTTGAGTTTAAATTTATATCATGGATATTTTTAATGTAACTAGCTAGTTCATCAGTGTTATATATTAAATGTTTTGTATGTGTTTTTTTGTTTGTATTACACAGCAGTAGTAACCATTGAGCACATGACATGCTTTTTCTTAGAAAATTCCTGAATAGGATTGTCTAGGATCAAGGCTCAAAACAACTGAATATTCTTGCTATTAAAGAGGAACTGACAATTTTTCTAATAATTAGAAACATTTATATTATTTCACAAATCTATTCTTTACTAATTTATTAGGAATATCTTTTAAATATATTATATTCATTTGTACAATGTGTAATTTTCTTAATTCTTTATCATTTTACATTTAAAGGCATGGATAGTTTCATAATTATAGTAATGGCTTTTTTGTAAATTTCTTTTGGGGGGGAAATTGAGATTTTAACATCATAAATCAGTGTGGGCCTGCCTCTCACTGCCAGGCCCCTTCTGGAGCCTCCTATTTTCATATTGCCTGGAAGGCTGCCTGCAGCCAGGGCTTCCCCCAACCCGGAGGAAGGATGGATCCAACACCAGCCTGATAAGGGGAGGCAACAGCAGCTAAGGGGGAGGGAGGGGAGGAGACAGAAGCTTGTGCAGGCTCATGTGTGTATTAGGTACTTACGTGTGAAGACACATGTAAAGAGACAGGTTTACAGACTACGCCTCAGGGACAGTCCACCATAGGAGGAGAGGTAGGGCAAGAAGCACAGCCTTTCTTTGTGGCATCTTGGGCTTAACCTATTCCAGGGACAGATACATAGGGAGGATAAGGGAAACATATCCCTAGGTCCCAGCCTTCAGGCCTGGAGCCCTTTGAGTATAGTGGAGTCACCGATCCAGTCTGTAGAGACAATAGGTCTGTCTCCTTTTGCAAGCCCTAGTAAGGGAGAGACAGGTCTTCGCTAGAAGAACTTCATACCTCGGCCATCGCTGATGGTGATGATCTCAGCCTTATGTTCCTGCTGTGGGGCCTGCAGAGCTCTCAGTAAGGTCGCCTCACCCAGCCCATGGAACTCCTCTTCCTCTGTGTCTTCTCCATTGGTTAGTTCATACAAGGTAAACACTGAGTTCTTCTGGCCACTCCTAGAAACCCACTGATAAATGAGTTTCCCCCATTCTTCTGGCCTCAGCCGCATGATCAGGAAGCTAGACTTGTTCTTAGCCAACCACTCGAGGTTCCCTTTTATCCTCAGTTTCTCTAATACAATCTGAATTGACCCCACAGGAAGCTTCCGCTGTAGCTTGACGTTGTTTTTATTTATTTATTTATTATTTTTTTAATTGTGAAAATACTGTATAGAGGAGTTACAGTTACATGGGCAAGATAATGAGTACATTTCTTATCAAGCATTTTAACCTCCTCCTTTGTTTCCCTAGCTTGACGTTGTTGAAGAGTGGGCTCTCCTGCGCTTCCATCACCGTCCTGCTGGACTTTTTGTGCAGGTGGCAAAGGGACAGGACGAGCGAGCACCAGGCGGCCAGCTGCTTCGGCCGAGGGTCCACGTTTGGCTGTAAAGAAGGGCGGAAAGCGATACTGCCACGGCCGCTGGAAACGCATCGCCATCGTAGTAGCCCAGGAAAACCTTTTTGCAAATTTCTAACTTGGCATTATTTAAATCATGATGAGGGAGCTTTCAAAATGAAAAAGATAGTAAAGCCTTTGAATAATGAAGCATGCTATTTTTTTTATTTTATTTTATTTGTGAAGATACTGTACAGAGGGGTTACAATTACATGGGCAGGATAATGCGTACATTTCTTACCAAGCATTGCATCCTCCTCCTTTGTTTACCCCTTCACATCCCTTCCCAGCCTCCCCCCTCCCCCCCAATCCCAATCTTTCTCCTTCCCCCCCCCCCCCGCCCCGCACCAACGTTGTAAAGCTCGTTTTGGACATGACAACTTGTACTTCTCATTGTTGCAACAGGTCCACCTGTATCCTTAAACAACTGGTTTTTCCCCATCTCCTCCTCAAGTTATACTGACATCAAATATAGTGAAAGCAGGGTTTATACTGTGGGGGAGGGACATACCAAGCAACAAAGAGATAATCTTATAAATGCATTAGAAACACATGAATCATGCTATTTTATACTCTATTAATTTTACTAATAGGATCGACTATTCCATAAGGTCTGTATGCAATAATTCATGAATCTTTTGATTTTTCTCCCCAATCTTTATTTTTTTTCAAAACTAATTTTGAATCACTCAGTTCAAAATCATTCTTATTTAGTACCAATTAGTTTTTCTCATAAGTCTACAGAATTCTTTTATTAAACATCGTTGACCTCTTACAATTCACCACTTATAATAATAGCTTGTCAAAGAACCTGCCAATCTAAGTAATGTGCATGCAACTCTAAGCAGGTTACCATGCATTTTGTATGATTTTCATTGTATTTTTCAGGATAGAAAATGTTCCTTTTTATGCCTTAATTTATATGATTACTACATTCTATTCCAATTCTATTCCCAAAACCTACCTCCAAGAATCAATGAATGTGACTATGTACATATGTTTGTATGTGCACGAGTTTGCAAGTGTTAAGAACCTAGAGGAAAATGGCAACTGCTGTGGAAAAAGGAGATTAATATTTTGATTTAAGGATGTTCTGTTTTTTGCTAAATATCTTGTAAATTAAATGCAGCTTCTTCCTGCATTACATGTGGTTTACTCATAAAAAGAAGGAATATTAATAATTAAGAAACTTGTAAATTAAAAGCTATAGGAAATAAAGGAAATAAAAGACGTAATTTGGGGTTGGGAAGGTGGCTCAGTGGTAGAGTGCTTGACTTGCATGCATGAGGTCCTGGGTTCTATTCCTCAGCATCACATAAGCAAAAAAAAAGCCGGAAGTGGTGCTGTGGCTCAAGTGGTAGAGCACTAGCCTTGGGCTGAAGAGCTCAGGGACAGCGCCCAGGCCCAGAATTCAGGCCCCATGACCCCCCCCCAAAAGAGATAATTAACTAACAACATGGATGTTACAGTAAAATTTAGCATGTATGTTGGCAGCTTTGATATAAGAAATAAGACATGATTGACTACATAACTGAAAGAAATAGCTAGAAATTTAGAAACAACCATACTAAATGAACTATCATTTTTTTAGAAAATAGTTTAAAGATCAAACTATTTCAGTGAAATTCTATGCCATATTGTCTACTTATCATGGAATGAGCAATCCCCTCCCAGTCTACCACATAGTATAGATGATGCAGACCACTCCACCAGAGTGAGCCTTAAAGTTCCCTTTACAGCTTGACCTCCCCAAGTTGTTTTTGAATGAGGGGATTCCAAACCTAGGGTCACCCCTGTCATGTCACATTAATGTAGTGACTTTGTATATACTAGCTATAGTAAGAAATAAAAAAATCATTTTAAAGTGTATGCAACATGCTTAGAGAAGTGGAAACAGTGACAAGTTGATGGAGAAAAGGTAACAGGGAAGTTCTAGAGTATGAAGACAGGATGTATTTTCCAAGGACCCTCCTCAAAGCCCCCATGACCTTGTTTCTAAGATTGTAGAAGAGGAGGTTCAGGGCTGGAGTGACAATTGTGCAGAAGAAGGACAGGACATTATCCTGTTTGGGACTATGGAAGGAAATGGGAAAGACATATATAAATGAGGCTGGGCCATAGTACATTCCAACCACAGTCAGGTGGGAGGAGCAGGTGAGAAGGGCTTTCTTCCTCCCCTCCTTGGAGGGCATGCGGAGCACAGTGCACAGAATTAGTGCATAGGAGACCAGAATGGCAGCAAGTGGGGGGATCAGGAACATCACACCCATCAAATAAACTGCGAGCTCAAATCTAGAGGTGTCTTCACAGGCCAACTTCAGCAGAGGTGGGATCTCACAGAACAGATGTTTTACCAGCCGGGATTTGCAGAAGGGATAGTGCATAGTGTAACTGGTATATACGATGGCACTCAAAAAGCCACAATCCATGTTGTCATCACCATGAACCAAAGGACTTTTGGACTCATGATAGTTGTGTAGTTTAGAGGATGACAAATGGCCACACACCTGTCATAGGCCATAAAAGCCACAAGGATGTCCTCAGCCCCACCCATAATCAGTTCCAGCAACATCTGAAGGGCACAGCCTCCAAAGGATTTTCTCCAAGGAGAAAATCCATGATGGCCTTGAGGGCTGTAAATAATGTGAGAAGGTCAATGAGAGAGAGCTGTCTAAGCAGGAGGTACATGGGCACATGAAGCTTCACATCCATTTGATGTGCAGGAGCAGCAGCCCATTGCTGGTCAGAGAGAGCGTATACAAGAATATCATTGTGGCACAGAGTAATTCAGAAAATCTGTTGTCATTCAGAATGCCCACCAAGATGAATCCACTTCCCAAGTTGGAGTTCCAGACCGCTGTTTTGTGTGTTCTTTGTTGTTGTTTAGAATCAGATGTCTAGTGGAAGTCTTTCTAAGGGATTTCAGTCACTATTTTCATAGACCCAGGGCAACTATGTGAGCCAACAGGAATTGTATGGGACATCAATTCACCCCTGTCAGGTCCCCCTGTGCTTTCTGAGTTTCTGAAATTTTTCAATGACTTATAATCATCTTTCAGTTAAACAGTATAGGCATATTGATTATTGTTCACCATGAACTTTATATATAAAGTATATTAGTTAAAGAGAAAGAAAATATCCCTCAATTTTTAATAATGCAATAAACATGAAATTGGTATAAAATCTAGGGTTTTCCTTTGTTACAATTTAGTTAGACGTGCAGTTAATTTTAAAAATTTCTTTCATGTGAAACTCTTTACCATGTTCTACCTTGACCTGATGTCTGCCTTTACTTTCTGGTCTCAAATTTCTAGGTCTTGGTCACTTGATCTCTTGTAATCTTCAAATATGCTCCTATGTTTTATGGTGTACTATTTGGTCTGATGGAGGAAATTTAATCCTGGACTAATATAAATGGATGCGTGAAATTAGTTTAAGTCACAAATTATTAGAAACAGTATAAATTACTTAAATTTTCAAGGCAGTGGTAAAATATTTACTCAGTTGAAGCAAAGGCAAGAAACAACAGGATCTCTGCAAGCCTGGGAGGAGTTTCTGGTAGTGAAGGGTATGTATTTAAGGGGTCATACTCATAATACAAACATGGTAGTAATGGTAAAAGCCATCCCACTACCTAAGATTCACAGCATTACTCTGAGCATGAAATATAGACATTTTCCCCCACAAATCTTAATAATGTGGAAGAATGCTGTTCTAGTGATACTGCATGTAAACAATAAAACTGGTTTAATGGTTTGAATTGGAAAAACATAGGACATGCACTAAGCCTGTTCTTTATAAATGCATTCCTTGATGAATAGAAGACCTAAAAGGTAATGTGGAATATAAGTTAAAAGTATTCATTAACTTGTTTATTTCTTTTGGATGTGAATACATATAGACACATATGTATATACACATACACACAGACACATGGGTATACACAGCTACACACATATCTGCTTCTTCTGTCATCTGAGACAGGTCAGTAAATGTACATTGGATGTACAGAGGATGAGCCCATTCTTGTACAGTGTGTGGTTTAAGGAAGTTCAGGAAGGGTGAGCTTCACCCTGATAGCTCTCCTCACATGCTGAGATTACTAAAAGAACAAGATGTATATGGCTTGGAAATGCTCACTCTCAATAAAAGCTAAAATTTGAAAGTATAGTTTAATTTTCTCATTTGTATTGCTACAGTATTGTTCAGTGTATTAAAAGATTAATTGATCTCCATTTTTCTTATTTATTGGGATTGGGTTAAAAAGGCTATTACTAGTGGACCCAGGCTAAACTAGATGTATGGATCCTCCTCCCTCAGCCCCTTGAAGGCTAAGACTACAGGCATCAGCATGCCTGGTTTTACTTGGCTTTTGTGATACATATTTACTACAAAGTATTCATGTAGGAGAAAGAAGCTAGAACTAATGTATTGATATGGTCATGCAATAGTTCTCTTTTGAGGTACTATTCAAGGAGTTCTTAACAGACTACTAGAGTCTAGGGAAATGCAGATGCACCTAAAGTATTCAGACTTTAGAAAATACAGTAGTAGAGCTCGAACTCAGAGCTCTGGTACTTCCTTGTCTCATTTGCTCACATTGGTGGTCGACCTGTTCTTTCATACTTGCAGCCCACTGTATTCCCTGTATTCCCTGTATAATATCAGTCTCGTGGACATTCTGTCTAGGCTGGCTTCAAACCATGTGTTTAAGTGTCAACCTTTTGAGAAGCTAGGATTTATAAGCATGAGCCAGGTGAACCTAGCATGGCATGAACATTTTACCCAAAAACCATTATCAGGAATTCTAGAAACTTAGGTCTGGTCAATAGTATTGACTATTGCAGTTGCCCACTCTTGTATGAGGTACTGAGATGCCTGCACCAATACAGGTACATGTGTTTGTAATCAATCACCTGGAGTACAGATGCGAGCAAGTGCACTCTGAAGTCTGAGAAATGAGACAGTCTGAGAGTAAGACAGTAATTCTTGGTCCTGTTACCCAAGATTCACTGCCTTCACACACTTTCTAGGGTCAAAGA